GGGAGTACTTGAGTGGAGGCTCAATGTCCATCTGCTATCTTAATACTAAACCTATAAATATATGCATATAGATCTATTTCCCCATCATCATATATAAATATATTTACATATGCACATGCCTGTATTTAGACCTCTATAAATGCCCTTTGACTCCTAGCTCTTCTATTTCCTTTTATTTTCTTCTTGTCCCACTATGATGCTCAGCCTTCATTTGGGTTTCAGGAATGTTATACTCTTAAAGTATCTTTTAATTCTTGAGAAATTTCAGTTCCCAAAAGAAACACAAGAAATTACTAACCAAAGTTTTCTTTTCTTTCTGTAGGTTAACTGGCTCAAAAATGGAGATAAGTTTTCCATATGATGCTGCAATCTTTTAAAAAGATAAGAGAAACAAAATATATTATGGTTATGTTAACTATGAATCAAAAGAATAAAACAAATGAGTAGGACTATATAACTATGACCACACAATTTCATTCAGTGATAATTAAGAAAACTTATTTTAAAGACAGTCATAATCTCATCAAGATCACTTTCTGTGACCAGCAAGTTAACCTCCCTAATCCCTAGTTCTCTTTTCTTTATGTAAATGCCCATACTATCTTCCTCACAGATTTATTTTGAGAACTAAAATTATATTTCTAAGTTAATTTAATACCTGATATTTATATTAAACAGATCATTGTCATTGGGTGCCATCAATTCCTGGATCATCCTCACAAACTTTCAAATGTTTGAGCTCATTGTTGTAGCCACAGTATCTACTTACCTCATTGAGGGTTTTCCTCTTTTGCACTGATTCACTACTTTACCAAGCATAATGTCCTTTTTAAAGGACTGGTCCCTCCTAATAACATGGTGTCCCCAGTGTATAAGCCAGTCTTGCTATCTTTGCTTCTAAGTCCAGCTGAACATCTTTCAAAACAGATTTGTTCATTCTTCTGGCAGTCTATTCAATATTCCTCACCAACACTGAAGTTAAAATGCATTGCTTCCTCTCTAGTCTTCCTTATTTACTGTCTAGCTTTCACATGCATATGAGGCGATTGAAAATGCCATGGCTGGGATCAGAAACACCTTAGTCCTCAAAATGAGATCTTTGATCTTTTATACTCTGTGACAGGTTTCTTGGGCCAATATGGCTCCCATTGGAACATGTGGATGGAGTATAGCCTGTCAGTCAGGTCGCCAACTGATTGGAAGGCAACCAAGATAAATGACTCTCTCAGGCTGCCCTCTACCTCTTTTTCCCTGGTGATTGGACCAACTTGCTGCTGTGGGCTGAGCAAACAGGTGGATCATGTCAATCACTGCACTGTGCATTACTATATGCTGAGACTCCATCACGACCTGCTTCGCTATACTGCTGTGCTACTGCCTCTGCTACACCCTGACATCTCATCTTCCTACCGTTGCTTCCCCACCTTGCCATGTCTGCTGCCTGCTGGCCTGCTCTGCTTGTCTTGCCTGCAGGCAGACTCCACACCTCCGGCCAGCCACTTTGCTCTTTCCTTGACCTTGGACCATTGGTGAGCATGAGTTGGAAGGACTTTCAGTATATTAATTGCCCACAAAAGTGAGTTAGACTGAGCCCTCTGTACTGCTGTGTGGACAAATTAGCTGTTGCATTCCTTCTCACAATAGACCTATCCTTTTACATAGAAGCATAAGTGTCCTGATTTTGTTTCTCTAGAGAACCCTGCCTAACACACACTAAAGAGGTTAAATCCATTTCTTAAAGAAGAAAACATTGTCATCATTAAATATGGAACTTAACATGAAGTATAAGTAAAAGGACTAGGTTTTAACAATGGTTCTTAAATATGAAATCAAAAGCACCAGCAGCAAAAGACAGAAAAAAATTATGAACTTTTGTTCAAAGAATTTAACACTACAGTGAAAAGATAAACCTACAGACTGGAGAGAAAATTTGGGGGAGTTATGAATACATAGATAACTGTGACACTTTAACAACAGAAAGAAAAACACACGCAAAGGAACTGAACAGGCATTTCATCAGAGTACATCCCACTAACTTAACAAGCACATGAAAAGATGAGCAATGTCCTTAAGTGCATGTAATCCAAACCACAATGAAATACCATTTCCACACCACTGGAATGACTATGAATTTTTAAAATGGAAAATACAAGTGTTGATGAGGTTGTGAAGAAACTGGAACCTTTAATTCATAGCTGGTGGGGGGAAATGGTTATGACTGCTGCGTGAAACCATTTCAGTCCCTCAAAAGTTAAACACAGAACCATCTTGTTACCGTTGTTCTTAGGTGCCATTGAGTCAGTTCTGGTTCACGGCAACCCTCTGTGCAACAGAAGGAAGGCCTGGCCGACCAGTGGTTTATGAGGTGAAGTGAGGCTTTCAATCACCTCACAGAACCATCTGACCCAGCAATCCCATTAGGTAGATACTAGGGAGCTCCAAAAAGTTCATGGAAAAACTATCACCTTTCAATTTCACTTTCCAAAAGAACTGAAAGTAGGAACATGAACCGAAGCATGTATACAAATGTTCAATATAGCACTCACAATAACCAAAAAGTGGTAACAAAATACACATTCATCAACAGATGAATGGAATTGCACAAATAGTTCTTCACCAAGGAAATTCAGGTTGTAAAATCTCTACTTCACAACTTAGTGTTATTAGGGCTTTGTAGATGTGATTAAATTCTACTTGACTTTTTCAGATTTGGCTGTCTTATGCCTTACTTAACACAAGTTCATTTTTTTTGACTCTGCTATACTTTTAACTTTGGTGAATAACCAGAAAGAGTACTTCAAAGAATGCAGCAGAGGTTTTAGCTATCTTAAAAACAAAACAAAACCTGGTTTTATTAAAATTTGTAAGCTTTAGGAATTTTTTCTTGCCCAAATTTCTGGAAGTTTAGAAGGGAAGAGGCTCCGACAAAAATGGTGTTGGTTAATAGAAAGCTAAAACAGATAATGGGTACTACAGTCTGCTAAGCTCTAGATTTGACCTACTCAGGAAGCATTTCGTTTTGTAATAGAGCACAGAATGTTCTTTACTCTCTTCAGAAGTGTAGAAGGCAGTGTGAACTTACTTCTGAAAGTTTTATCCACAGTGTGAGAAGAAGGTATTTGTAGTGTATCTGAAAGTTTGCTAGCAGGAAGAACCCTGTAAGAGAAAACTGAAGATTGATACTGCCAGTATGTCAGATAAATAGAAGCATGTTACACTTCAAAGAAGCTTTCAGTCTAAAAGAAATAGGCACATAGTAATTTAATTATAATTAGACATGTATTCGTCTATATAGCTGACTGCTAAAGGCATTTGTGTATGCGTACAGATATAACCTGAGTTGTAAAATGCACTAGGCTTTGAGTCACTCAAATCATGTAGTTACTCTTTTCTTTAATGTAGATAGGACTTATCAAGGTCAGTTTTCCTGACCTCTGTTTCTTCTTCATGAAAACTGAATAAGAGTAACTGACCTAATTAGTTTAAGAGTTGTGATATTTGATTTATGTTCTAGAGGGAAAGCAATATTTAAATACGTAAAGTATTTTGAAAATGTAAGCTCTTTATTACTTCACTCATTATTTGCCTATGCAACTAAATTGATCTACAATACCATAAACTTTAGGGCAAATAATCTAAAAACTCACTTTTTAATCATGGTTAGTTTGATATTGTCATAAATTGTGGTAAAAACTGTATTTAACAAAAAAATTGCCAAACTAACAATTTTTAGATGTGCAATTCCATAACATTGATTGCATTCATCATATTGTGCTACTGAGTTATGTGTTGGGCTGCTAAATGCAAGGTCAGCAGCTCAATCCCACCAGCTGCTCCACAAGAGAAAGATGAGCCTTTCTGCTCCCATAATGAGTTACAGCCTCAGAAACCCAAAAGGGCAGTTCTACACTGTCCTACATGTATATTTCACCGTTGTTAACAGGAAATTTAATTGTCTCTAAGGCAATGACTCCCCCTTTTCCTCTAAAACCCAATTCTGGTATCTGTATTAATCTATTAATTAATCTGTATACATTGACTTTTTTAATATAAATGGGATCATGCAATATTTGTCTTTCTGTGACTGCCTTACTTAGCATCATGGTTTTAAGGTTCATCCATATTATAGCATGTTCAAAGGGGCTTCAAAAACTTCATGGAAATGTGAAGTTTAAAAGAAAATGAAATTTGTCTATAAGCTGTTTGCTTGAAATTCTCTCATACGAGGACTTAATTTCTCTTTATCTCCAAGTAAACGTCCATTATATTATGTAATCCATTTTGTTTACACTACCAGGTTCTCTTACATGTAATATATAGATATATTTTAATTTAACATAGATGAACACAAGAAATGTGTATTTACTAAAAATGACCATCTAAAATCGGTTTCCAAAGCAATCCAAACCCCAAACTACTAGCAAGGAGCAATCTCCCAATCAGAGTGGCCCTAAGCAGGGTTTCTAAGGCTGTCAATCTTTTGGGGAGCAGGTGGTCTCATCATTTTCTCTCGGAGCAGCTGGTAGGTTTGAAACTGAACCTGTGGCTAGTAGTCCAACACTTGCTGGCAGCACCACTTGGGTTCCTTTCTTAAAGCAAAAGAACAAATAATTCTGTTTCTTTTTATACAAGGTTAATGAAGCCAACACTGTAATTTTCAATAAAACACAGTTTCCAATAAAGGATTGATATATGAAGAAAAACTCACTGGGCTAAAATCTTGATCTGTTTGGAATGTGGGGCCAAGGGTTAGATGAAGCTCTGAAAATTCTGAATCAGAAAGAATGTAAGAGCTCTGAAATGGGAAAAATGTGTATTTAAGGAAATTCTCAAATAGTAATGTGGCTAAAATAGTAAACTGTCATAAAAATGACTAAAGAGGAGGATGAAAAGTAAACCGTAGATAAGAATTCTATCAAGAAGGATTTTCTAGGCCACATGAGGGAGTCTAGATTTTATTTTTTTTTAAATGAGAAGCCATTAGAGGTCTTAAGGTTAGTTTATGCTGTGTAGTAATACATAAAAACGAGATCACTCTGATTTCTGTATGAAGAAACAAATTAGAACAGAAATGGAAAGGCAGATTATTGTAGTATTAAAAGTGAATATGATGACGGCAAAAAAGCAATGTGCTGCATTGGAAAGAGAAAGAATTGAAAAGATTCAGAATAGACCCAAAGTGCCCAAAGCTGAAGAAGGGTGAGCAAAAAGGTTTTAGGGACAACTATTAGCTAAGTTTCTGGTCCATTAGCTAAATAAGATACAGTCTCCAGAAATGAGTTTTGATTCACAGTTAAATTTTGAAGAATAAGTTACATTGTGAACTTCTTAATACATTTTTTTAACATTACAAGTTTATTATTATTTTTTTAAATACATTTAAAAATATTTTTTAAATATTCCACTTCATTTGAGTATTGTTAAATGCATTCTTAAATGAAGTATGTAGGAAACGGAAAACTGGAAAGCGACTGTACATGGTGGAGGATGGCCTTCACTGTCATGAGTTGGAGATGCATCCCAGTCACATTCTCTTAAAATTATTCCCTAAAATGTCCCTCCTAATAATGCCAATCTTAAGGTGCTGCTTGCAAGCACAAGGTACCTTATACACTTGAAGGTTAACTGCTTGAGGTTATCTGCCTGAAGGTTGTCTGCCATCAAGAAGTGATCAGACCACCCCACCTTAAGTAAGCCCACTCCCTTCTGATAAGGATCATAGATTTAAGTCAAGTCAGCTCAGACAACCAAGGTTAGGCGGCTTAACTTTAGAACTCTAGAATCTTGCTAGGTATGTACCTTTCCTGTCATGTCTATGCCCCTGGCACATCCCCTTCCTGTTGTGAGTGTACCTCTAACACATCCCCTTGTATAACCCATGCCCAAGGTTATATAAGCCTGTGAGAGAAGGCATTTGCTTGCCTCTCTCTTTTGATCCTGCCATCTGAAGAGGTGAGCCATTGCATGTCCTGTCTGATGTTTCACTAATTCACCCTTCAATTATAAAACTGCCCTTTAGGACCCATTTGGTTGTGGAGGCTGGTCCCCTACAGAAGTATATATTTTTCCTTGGTTCTGTTTTGTAAAATAGCTATTGTTCATTTCATAAAGTACAATAGTTTGAGTGAGTCACAAATGAAGAACATTACCGTTAAGTTAGATAGACAAAGGAAGGAAAAGAAGGAAGAAAAAAATACAGATAGAAATAAAAGTATATGACCTGGTGAAGTGGTGTAAGGGATGAGGCTATCACACACAAATGCAGGGGGGAAATTTGACTACTTTCAAGAGTTCTGAGAATTTCTTATGTCAGGTGCCAGGGAGTTGGTTCCAACTCATACAGCAAGCCAGGGCACAAAAGAATGAAACACTGCTTGGTCCTGTGCCGTTCTCAAAACTGCTGTGTTTGACCCCACTGGGGCAGCAACTATGCCAATCCATCTTATTGAGAATTTCCTCTTTTTCAGTGACCCTCAACTATGTCCTTCTTCACAGACCAGGCAGTCCTTATAACATGTCCAAAGTACGTGAGATGAAGTCACACTGTCATTGCCTCTAAGGAGCATTCTAGCTGTACTTCTTCCAAAACAGATTTGTTTGTTGTTCTGGCAGTTCAGGGTACTTTCAATATTCTTTGCCAACACCTTAATTCAAATGTACCAATTCTTCTCCTGTCTTCCTTATTCATGGTCCAGCTTTCACATGCATTTGAGGTAGTGAAAAACAACATGGCTTGGGGTTAGGAGTACTGTATTTCTCAAGTACTACTCTCATCTCTACTCAATACTTAAATAAGTATTTTTCAGGACACTTGCACAGTGCAATAAAAGCCTGGTTTCCTGACAGTTGCTTCCATGAGTATTCACTGTGGATCCAAGTAAAACGAAATCCTTGACATTTACAGTATTTCCTCTATTTATTTTAGAACATAAAAATCACCCATAATGAGTTGTTCTGGGATGACTTGAGAGAAAATGAACACAGGAATAAAGACTAAGAAAGAAGCAACCTATTTTTGGACACAGGTGAGCCCAACATGGCAAGAAGACAGTGCCACCTATAAGGATGTAATGAATAAGAAACCAACAAGAAAGGTTTGTGTCATGTTATGCAGTGCCTTATACAGAGGTGAACAATTTGAACTTTTTCCAAGGTAATGTAAATCTAAGAATGTGTTTTTTCTAAGAATGTTTTAACACAAAGAAATAAGATATAAATATATGTAAATTTTTGCAAGAAAATAAATGTAGTAGTAGTAGTCGTCCAAAACAAACAAACAAAAACACAACCCAACAGCAATAATGATCCTGGTGCCTATGGTGTTGAATAGCCTTTCTTTCTTAAAGCAACTAGAAGCGCTCAGGTACCAGAACCTGTAAATGTTCTTCCTGATAGCTTTGATTATATTGGTATTTACAAAACAAAGGAAAATTTATTTTTAGTACTGGGAGTAATAAAAAGTGGAGGTAAGAGAAAAACTCAGTAAGTGTCCATTTAATACTGGCCATGAAGAGAGGCTTAATCATAGTGTGAGGTACTTCCTCACAGTCACCTTCTTTGCTCTTAATAATTATAAATCTTGTCATGTAGTCTAACCAATTTGCCACTTGAGTTGATTGTGACTCTTGGCCACTCCCTGTATGTCAATAGATCATGCACCATTGAGTTTTCAAGGGCTGGTTCTTCTGAACCAGACCACCAGGCCTTTCTTCCAAGACACCTGTGGTAATTCAAACCAGGCATGTTATCTGTTTTCACAAACTCTTGTTGAAAGTTATTTAATTAGATTTCTAATATTAACTAGTCAATTGTGAGTCTGGATGTATAAGCTAATTTTTATTTAACAATAAAGATTGCAAACTTAACTGGAGGAGGGGAGAAGCATAGTCTTAAGAATTTTCAGCCTTCCATAACAAAGGTATTTTTGCAATATAGTGAGAAGTAGTATAAACTTGAACAAAGGAAGTGATACTTGTGAGTCCTTATATTAAAGGGAAGGGACAATTGGTTAACACAAAGAACAGTAGGCCATCAAATAGGTAAAGGTTTAAAGAGTTGAAACTCTTCACCATGAATATCTTTAAAGTAGGTCCCAAACAGTAACTTCTCAAACTAGCAGGTTTATCAGAAGTAAAGATTAGATTGGGAAAAAAATTGGGTTCACTTGATATCATCCTAATTCCTCACCCAAAATATTTAGTGAAATCATGTAGTCAAACAATGTACTTATATATGTAGAGCACCAGAATTAGTAAATTTACAAAATCCATCCCAATCCCACTACAACTACACCTGGCTCTGGTCACCTATGCCTATACAGTGCTAAGTCAAGCTATACTATATGAGACAGTATTTAACCTGACATAGAAGAATTGTATGCCTCTTTTTTTTTTAACTTAACTTGTATCTTTTCATATGCAAAGAGAAGTCCAGATAGACTTTTTTCATTTTTCTTAGAGTTGTAACACATTAATTTAAAAAAAATATTGATTTTTAGAAGAGTTCATCTTCAGTACAAATCAAGCTTGACCAGTCGTTATAGGAAGATTACTATTTACAGGCAAAAAACCCCAAAAGCAACCCACTGACTTTTGCGCAGTTTATTTGTAAACAAATGTTTATTTTGTTTTTCTCTCAGTCCAATCAATTTTTTAAAATTTGTAAGTCTTAGACCGGTTCTACATTTTAAAAGAAATTGTGCATCTTTTAAATTAGAGAACAATCTGCAAGGTCAGTCCAAAACCATGGGAGAAAGAGGAGGCTTTCTACTCCCTTAAAGAGTTACAGGGCCAGTTCTACTCTGTCCTGTAGGGTCACATAGTCTACTCGATGGCAAGAGAAAGAGGAATCTTTTAAGTTTGTTTTTTAAATCAATGAAGCGATCTAGCCTTCCCTGATTCTGTTTTATAATGTTTTCCAAGCAATAATTACTATAGAGAACTAATAATTACTATAGAGAACAGAATTCCTGTCCAAATATATAATGCATATTCACAGAACCAAAGAAATTCATAGCTACAGCTTTCTTGTAACAAAGTCAGTCTCTAATTCAGTAGGAAACACACTACATTGGAGATTATCCAAACAAAAAAGCATATTCAAAACAAATGTGCATGTTACCATAGGGTCACAAACCTTGCCTTGTAGCACTGAACAGTCTACACATCCTACTTGAATATTTCCATGTTTAGCTCCTGGGATTATCTGTAATCTTTCAAAATCACTTCCCAAAATTACAATGTCACATCCAGATGCATATGCCTAAAAAAAAGGAACAAGGAAAATATTTATCATTTAGAATACTAGTATCAAATAGTATACCAAAAGACCAATTTTAAATGTTTATATATATATATATTTTTTTTTAATTTGGAAACATTTCCCATACTTATATATACTGTACTCTTACAGTATGTGTCTCAGACTTATCAGCAAAGTGTATACCAACAATGACACTTTTTCTAGCTCTTGTCTAATTTTTACATAGACAAATCTTTTGAAATCTATATTGTACAAGTCATTTTCACTGCTTCAACTCCTTCAATAGTTTCCTACATCACTTGGAAATAAATCTCAATTCTTTAGCCTTGACAAGACTGTTTAATTTTCCACCTTCTCCAACCCAATCTCAGGTTACTCTTTCTTTCCTTCCTTCAAGTGGTTCCTGGCCTCTATTATTGTCCTTTCTGTTCCCTGATTAAATCAATCTCTCTTTCTACCTCAAAGGGATTTGTCTGCTATTTAATGTGCCCAGACTGTGACTCGTTAGCTTCTTTTCAACATCTAGGTCTCTATTTTTCAACCACGCTTCCTTTCTCATTACTCATTATCACAGTAGTATCTCCTGCCCCCACCCCCACCCCCACCCAATGGATACATGAGTACCATGATCTTTCAATATCATGTTTAGTGTCCATTTTCATTACTGGCATCTAAGTTCCAAGAGAATAAGATTCAAGTGTATCTTGTTCTCTGCTCTAGCCCTTCATTCTACCAGAGGAGCCTGACACAGAGTTGGTACTTTACATACTAGAGAGTACCCCCCCACACACAAGAAAGCAGAACAGGCTACACTAGGCAAAGCTTTCATAGCAAACATTTTTCCTTCTAGGCGAGCACTGAGCAACTCGCTCTGAGTTAATGCACCCAGTTGCATCGTCTGCGAAGGTTCTCTCTGGTCACGGTGCATTTTTTCGTAAATGCAATTTCTCTCAAAACTCATTTTTTTGTGATGGCCAATTTAAGAGAATAGCTTGTGGCTGTGAAATTTTGTTTCCTGCTCGGAAAAAATGCCACAGAAACTGTTGTGATGCTAAACACAGCTTACAAGGGCAGTGCTATGTGGAAAACTCATGTATGAGTGGTTTTCTCATTTCAAAAAAGGTGAAATGTCAATTGATGACAAACCTCATTTTGGACATCCGTCAACTTCCCAAACAAACGAAAAATGTAGACTCGAATGCAAATGTGCATTTGGAGTTTGTTCCACCAGGTCAGACTGTTAATCAAGCTTTTTATTTAGAGATTCTGAAAAGATTGCCAAACAATGTGTGACAAAAAATGCCTGATTTGTGGCAGATGGGACATTGGTTTTGCCACCATGACAATGTACCTGCTCATGCAGCCATTTCATTGCACCAATTTTTGGCAAAAAAACAGCATGTCTCTTGCCCCCCACACCTTACTCATCTGACCTTGCTCCATGCAACTTTTTGTTTCTGCAAATGAAGAGGGACATGACAGGACAGCGATTTGATGACACAGAAGAAGAAAAATCTAAGGAGGTGCTATCAGCCATCCAAACAGATGTTTGAAAAACGTTTCCAAGAATGGAATTGCAGATTTTAACAAATGTATTGAGTGTGATGGAGAGTACTTTGAAGCTGATTGTGATAGATAGGTTTATTGTACCAACCTGACCAACAGGAACATATGGGACTAATCACAGTGCAGTTTGTTTGGAGGGTAAAGATATAAATGGTTCAGCAAGGCCCACCCCTCTCTCTTGCTCTCTGGTACTTGGACCCACGTGCAGTTGCTTTAGCTAGTTCTCTGCCTCAACTTGTGAGCTATAATACCTGTGGGACAAGCCAACCGGTGAATAGTGTTGCTAGAGCTTGAGGTTCCTTGGAGACCTCCTTTGCCACGCTGCTGGTGTGTACATTGCTTGAGACTGAGGCTGGTGGATCCTGTCATCTTGCATTGCTGGAGTTAGATATCCCATCGGGCCTGCTTGTTAAGCTCCTCAGCTACCCTGCTGTTTGCTGCCTATGGGCAAACTCTGCTAGCATTGCCTGAATGAAGATTCAGCTGTCTGCTTCCTTGACTTTGGACTCAGCAACCCTCGTGAGTTGAAGGACTTCCAGTATATTAACTGTTCCACAGAAGTGAGTTGAACTGAGTACTCTGTACTGCTGTGTGGACTAATTAGCTGTTATATTCTTTCATGCTCTATAAAGCTATCTATATTAATAAATATCCTAGTTTTGTGTCTCTAGAGATTCCTGCCCAACACACTGATAAAGTTTTTTAGTAAAAACATTTAAATACATACCTATGGGGGGTGGGAGTTCTGAGGTTTTTTGGGGGGTACCCCCTTGTATACCAAAGGAATAGAAAATATATATTTAAATTGCACAAAAATTAGCTACTATATAAATAAATCCAAGGGTACACTCAGCCTATTGGAAAGCATGTTACAACTCTTTTTGAGTTTATGTTACAATTAAAATTATTATCTTTTGTCTTATTTTTGTCTCCTTTAACCCATCATCTCCTTTAAGGATGGAATGTTTTCTACTACAGGGTTATATAGCTGTCTTCCTAGGGTTCACATATTATAGGTTGGCTGGCATGCAGTGTTTTACTTTGATAATGAAATGTCATTCCAAGGTGTTTTCCAGTATGAGAAGTTCTTCAGCTGAAGTTTTAAGTAACTTTACTTTCTCATCATGTTGCAACATATACTACCTTAATGTAAAAAATATAGTTTATATATATATACATATATACATGCTTGACCTTAATTATCAAAGCCAAAATGGTTTTTGTGTTATTTTAATTAGTGCTATTTTACCTTTATATTTCTAATATCCATTGCAATGGCTACACAGAACTCAGATATAATATTCATTATTTGTTTTTTTCATAATATTCATTATTAAAGAGTTTATTAAGGAAGATGACAGGTTGTAATGCAACAGGTTGTAATGGTCAGGGTACGAGTTGTTTATCAGGACAAGTTGCTAAGTTCTTTCAGGTATGCTAGTAAATGATCAAAGGGACTTACCACCCCACTATAATCCTCAAATCAATGGCATTCTGTCCTACTTCCCTGGTTAGCAAGTCCAGCTTCTCCAGTTAAGTGCCAAAAGGCATTCCATACCACAAGCTAGCCTCCTGCCCCAAGAACCCAGTTGATTATTCTGTGGGCTGGGAAGTGCACCACTCTGTTTCATGTTCTAACTTCTGGGCCTGTTATTGTTGATCCTCCAATATTACAGCTGTCTTCCAGATTGAAGAGGTTCACTGTGCAGGGATCTTGGATCTAGAGGGGCACTCCATTCCTTAATCTTGCTGTTAATGAGATCCCTTCTCCTGCTTCTTAGAGGGCTCATTTGATAGGCAGCAGGATGGCATTCCAGGGAATTCTGTTCAGTTACTCACAGGTAAGTCCTATCAGTTACCATCCCCCACCATCTTACCAAGCCCATTCAGCAAAAGGTCATTTAGTGGGATTTATAGACTTTGGCTAGAAGAGCCACATTAAATCATTCACTGCCCCATCAAGGGTCTTCCTCTTTTTAAAGAAACAGCTGCAAGCTTGGAAATCCACACATACCCCCTACACTTCTGACCAGCTAAGGTTCAATTATCCCTAAAACTTTTTAAACTTCAGAACGGTCAGCCTTTCCTCTTCTCTCTCATCTTTAGCTTCTGAGAACATCATGGGTACCAAAGGAACATGTCCAAATTGGCCCATCTATTCACTGCTGCATTTTTTGCCACTTCCACTCAGTAACTGGATCCAACTGGTTACCATAATGAGCACATCAAGCTCACCAGCTCCCTTTAACTTTCAGTCCTAGAAGGGCCCTTTCCTGCTTTGATGTATCCAATGGCAAACTGCTTGCTCAAATTTTTCAAAAGTCAGACTTTTGAAGGGTGTTTTGCTCTGCAAGTCTTCCCTTCAAATGTGCTCTCAACACTTCTGAGTAGGGCTCCGATTTTCTTTCTAAGCCCCTTACTCTGCCTTGGCTTTAAATAAAAAAGCCTTTTCTTTTCAGGTAATTCTTAACTCTCCTTTTTTGTATATCTAATCAAATATAGCTGACGGCAGACTTACAAGCTCTTGTAACCATGATTTATTTCTTATAATCCTGATTAATTTCCTACATTACAATACAAGGTTTGAAAAAATATACAGTATCAATAGTGCAGCCAAATAAACATATAACCCTTAACCTTTTTAATAATAACCAAATACAATAATCACTTCCCCACCCCCCACACCATATCTATTTATTTACATATGACCTGGGGCTTCTGGCAGGATGGTTCCAGTAGGCACTGGTCTATTAATCTTAAATCACCCAGGCTTCTTCCCCAGATCACTCCACAAGCAGCGTTTCTCCTCACATCTACAGCATATCATTCCTTACATACAACAGTATCCAAAATAACCATTCTAGGAATCAAATGTTTTATTTTCCATACCTTAGTTCTATCTCTTAAAAGAACACCATGTTTCTATGAATCTGGAGCCAGTGCAATTAACCCAAATTCTGACACCAATTATGTTATTAGGTTCTAATATCCATTGTATTGGCTAAATAGAACTCACAGATAATACTCATGATTAAAAGATTTATTAAGGAAGTTGATAGGTTGTAATGCAAGTGAGAAATGCTCAGGATACAGTTTGTTTATCAGTCATGTTACAATTCTAAACTATTTCTTTTTTTAGTCATTTTACTTGGGGCTCATACAACTTATCACAATCCATACATACATCAATTGTGTAAAGCACATTTGTACATTTGTTACCCTCACCATTCCCAAAACATTTGCTCTCCACTTAAGCCCCTGGCATCAGCTCCTCATTTCCCCCCTTCCTCATGAAACCTTGATAAGTTATAAATTATTTTGTCATATCTTACACGGTCCAATGTCTCCCTTCATCCACTTTTCTGTTGTCTGTCCCCCAGGGAGGCGGTTATATGTAGATCCTTATAATCTGTTCCCCCTCTCTACCCCACCTT